GCAGGCGTGGGGAGGGCGGAGGGGTGGGAGCAGCGAGCCCCGGGAGCAGGGCTCGGGGTGCGAGGGAGCGTTTCGGGAGGACGGGGACGTGGCAGCGTGGCTGCAGGGCGGGGCTGGGCCTCGCCTGCCTGCGGGGCTCTCCCTGCACCCCTCTCTGCGGCACAGGGCTCGCCCAGCGCGCGCTCCTCCTCCAGTCACCCCTGGGAAGGAATCGAGGGGGGCAGCCTGAGCCACCAGCCGTGGGGAGAGGCGTTTAGTGCCACGGGGCGAGTAGCATGAGCAGGGATCCAGCCCATAATGCTCCTCCTCAGCGGGAGCCTGAACCCCCTGACCCTGTCCTTGGCTTGTTTTGGCGCTTGCAGAAGCGCCCCTGGGGCCTGTGGTTTGGAGCCTGAGGTAGGAGCGTGTGCGAACCTGATGGAGAGGAACCCAAAATGTGCTTTTTTAACAAGTTGTCGTGCCCAAACGCTCCGTGTTGCCGTTCGAGAAAGGAAAATGCTCGGCCGTTTCTGCAGGAGCATCCCAGGCAGCGTGTGCGAGAGCTCTGCCTGCCTCCCGGCCCCGCCGGGGGGATGTATAAGCGTACATCCCAGGAGAACACCCGGAGCTCCGTCCCGCGGGCTCTCGGGGAGGGGGCCCAGCACCGCTCTGCTGCTGTAGGTGCTGTGGGAAGCGGCCGGGGGGGCCGGGGCGGTCCCCGGGGTAATTACCACCAAAAGAGAAAAAAAAAGGGAATGCCCACCTGAACGGAACTGTCCTGTTGGTGTTTACTGGGGTCCGAGTGAACTGAGGCTGCAGGTGTCACGATCCACCTCTTTGCGTTTCCATTTCTGCGCTGGGGTCCCCGGGACGGGCCCTCGCCCCGCGGGCGAGACACACGCGATCACTTTGGCGACTTCTCTATCTTCTCCCATCATGTTATTTTTTTTCCTCTAGGCCTTTGTAATTCAGTACATAGCCTTTTTTTTTTTTTTTTTTAATTGCAATCACTCCCTTTCTGTGTCTTCTTTTTTTTTTTTTTTTAATTTCTGGGACTTATCTTTTCAGTTTAATCTATTAATTTCTGTTCTTATTTCACTTTGCAGACTATTTGCCGATTTCACAAGACATAATTTTTATCAACTAGTTCTTAAAGATGCATAACAAATTAATCGGGGTTTACTACAGTGCTAATGAGAGAGAGAGAGAGACAGAAAAAGCCTGGGTGGTCCATGTTTAATATCAATGTCCACTGAAAAATTGCTGCTCTTACTGGCTGGTTTGATTGACTGGACTTTTTATTTTATTTTTATTTTTTTAAAGGCTCCATATCCTCACTGCTTTGAGTTTGCTTTTTTTTTTTTTTTTTTTTTTTTTCATTTCCTCTGCTTTGTTATGAGTTTTTAATGCCCACTTGGAATGTAACTCACAAGGATCGGGGTTAGGGGCGTTACAAAGGTACGACTTCTCACAAACTTTTTAGAAATAATCTAATCAAGGAAGCAAAAAACGATGATTGGGTCTCCCAAGCAGCCCCAAAGAGATATTGGCGCTTTTTAGCGTAGCGATGTTCAGCAGTAGCACAGATCATAATTAGGGTGAAGCGAGACTGGCAGCTCCTGTCACTAGGATCATTAGCAACACGGGGTTTAATTATTCCCAGCGACCGCCCTGTGCCCGCAGGTGCGACCCTGCGGTGCGGGCGGCGGCGGGCGCAGCGGACCCACACACGGTTGCTCCCGTTTCCCTCACTTTGGGTTAGTGGCTCTTTCTAGAGCTGCCCGAATCACGCCAGGGCCGTGGCTGGAAGCCCCCCCCCTCCCAAAAAAAAAAAGGGCTTCGACAGTTTTTGCACATCCCGCAGCAACCCCAGCCACTAACCCCCCTCGCCTGGCAGCCTGCGGTGCTCTCGCATTCTCCCTGCAGTCGCTTCTACTTCCAGACTTTGCTTGCAAATCACGGGCTAATTACTGCGATTTTGGCAAGAGGGACAAGCTTCTCCCCCTGCTAGCTTAAGCTGTATCGCGCCTCTTAATCTCCACCTAAATCACGGAAGAGCTGCAAACCCATGTAATGGGTAATGCCTCCATCCATTGGCTTTATTTCTAAGAAGACCAGATTCTGGACTTTTGGGTAGAAAACAAGCCTCGTATTTAAATTCTGTTTTTTCTTTAAGTGTTTCTACCCATTCTATAAGTTTGTGAGAAGTAAACTGCATGCTTACAGTAGAACTGTAATGCATTTTAATGTTTGTTAATCCACTTGTTTAAAATGTCAGTGTCAAAGGCTCTACAATACACGGCTATGCTGTTCATTTCATTAAAGATGCTTGATGTAATAATTGGTTAGTTTTCTTTTTACTTTTCTGCAGGCAATAGCTTTTTTTAATCTGTATGGCTTCTTATTATTTTGTTTGGGTTTTTTTGCTATGAATTGCTTTGCTTTTGTGAACTTGTCTTAGTGTGCATGATTTGCAAACATTTCGGCTATTGTGAATTTTCTCATTTTTTTGTAAATAGTCCATCTGTGCTTTTCTTTTTTTTCTTTTTTATGACTTTTTTCCTGTAAGTAACTGAGGTAGAAAATAATAATAAATTGTTTACAACGGATATGCTGTGTTGCTGCTCTCTTAGCTTGCAGTTTTAATATTTTGGTTTGGACGCACCAAATAACCAGTACCAATGACAATTTAATAAAAGAATAAAACAACCATCACTCAAAGCGTGTGACCCAGTGTTTGAAGAATCTGCAGATGAACGGTTACGTACGAGGTGTGTTTACCGCAAAGAATTAAACCCCCAAGAGATGACAATGCACTTGTAATTGGGGCTGGAGGAGTGACTCCGCGTTAAGTCGCCGTGTTCCCGGCGCTGTGGTCAGTGTGGTCCGTGCCAGCGGCCCGGGGGGGGGTTTAAGCATCAAACCCAGATTAGAAACCCGTGTTGCAAACCCTCCGGTGCTACTGTGCAGGAACGTTTCTGCTCTGTGGGAACAGAAGGACGAGCAGGTACCTGCTGTGGCTGGGAGGGTTGCGGGGACGTTGCCATCGCTGTCTGATCTCAGTTTGAATTTCTCCCATCGTTACCTGGATGTTGGGGGATTGTCAAAGTTACTTAGAAGCCTTCAGCTCAGGAATTTAATTTTTTTTTTTTTTTAATTAAGGGTTTGTTTGCTTGTACGTTTGTCAACGCTTATTAAAACCTTTGTATGTGGGGAGAGGTGGGAAGAACAAATATTTTCACAAACTTTTCAGAGCACAGGGAAATACACTTGCTTACTAATAACAGTTCTCCAGTCTGCAAAGCCCAGCCTTGGGTCACGTTCCTGCAGTGCCTGGTGCTGTGAAAATGCAACGCAAGATCCTTTCAGAGTCTGAGCTGCTGTTTTTCATTATTATGACGGCATTGAAAACCAACTTTCTGTTAATCTGTAGAGCTTAATTTAGTTTCTTTCCTGATATCAGTCGCAAACTGTTCATTGCCAGCCGCCAGCGCTGGGCGGGAAGGTATTCTTGTGTAAAAGTGATTTGTGATGCTCGCTGAGTAGGTCTAACGGTTATTTTCTGAGTCAGGAAAAGGAGATGGTACCAGAGACGAGGGTAATTATTATATAATGACATGCTTAAGGCTTTTTTTTCATAGTGTCTGAGAGAAGGAGGTGAGGTAAGGAGGTTCCTGTATCAGTTGTTCAGGTCACCCGGCAGTATTAGGAAGGTTGACGTTGCTCCTGCTCGTGGTTACTGAGCCCTCCCCGGGAGCGCAGGCGGGTGGGAGCGGGGGAGCGTGTTTCTGGCTCCAGCAAACGGCAGAGCTGCGCGTCCCACCCGTGGCCGGGTGCGGTGGTCGGAGCCGTGGCCGTGCTCTGGAGGTGCAGCTTCGCCACGTTGAGTGGGGTCGGGAGAGACTCGGGAGTTGGTACGACCAGCTCACCAGAAGGAGCGTAAACGCATCCCCACAAAGGACTGGGCTGTAATTCTGCGCATCGATGGCAGCCAAGGTCGGGCTCCAGCGGGGTGTGGGGTGCCTCGACGACCACGAGCCACGCTCCCGTGTCCACGAGCACCCTCTGGCCATGTAAAGCGATTTTAAAGTGGAGTCCACTCTGTAAAATACTCTTAAAGCACCGTTACACGAGTCTAAGACTTGTATAACATTTAGTCACGGGATGCAAAGTTTATCTGGTCACGATACTTGAATGATCAAACTTCACATTAGGAAAAAAAGGAGAAATTGCTGGCAGCTGGCAGCAAAATAGGAGGAGGAAATACAAAATATATTTTAAATTGTGTATTCAGTTAGTTAAGCCTTGTAACAGTAAGAGATGCGGAACGAAGCTGGAAATGTTTCTCACTCCTTTGTCTAACCCTTTCTTAACTGCTTAAAATCTGCTCTAATCACCCCTGCACTGCATGCTTTTTTTTCACCTAAAACACGTTACTGCATCTGCATGGCATAAAACGGTTTACAAAGTGCATCTGAAATCTGCTAGAACCACCTTAATTACCGCTCTTCAAACCTCTCCGTTTCAGCCTCCATCACTGAAAACAAAGACTATAGACTGGACCTGTTTTAAAATTAAGATTTTGGGTTTCTTTTGCTGGCGGAGGGCAGGCTGAAGAGGGACCATTCACACTGCAGGTGCATCCCTGGAGTGAGGAGCAGCTGGAACTGCAGACAGCAAACTGAGAAATTAATATAGCAAAGCCCATAAATTTCCAGCCAGAAGGTACTCCTTCAACTTCTGCTTAGATGACGGTAGCTTTTGTTTTGACACAGGAAAAAATGGTGTCTAGAGCTGTTCCCCGAGTCCGAGCAGAGCTTAAGCACCTTTGCCTCTTGGACATATCTTTTCGGAGAAGAGTTGTGGTCTTTTTTAATGTTGCGGAGAA